ACTAAATATGTCTGATTTTCCTCTATGCATTCGTTGGGATAATGCAGACTGAAAACAATGGATTTTGATAAGATCAGTAATTATTTTAAACCAGTTCAAACGCACGGGCTCGGTTTTGCGTTAGAATTCAAGACCTCGGGCCTGTCATACCAAAAGAATAAGTATTTAGACTTAAAAAACTCTACGCGCACATGAAGTCCAGGAATCAAACCGGATACCCCAGAGGTGAGACGGGCGAGTGGACTACCGCTACACCAACCTTAAACCTAGTTCGCTGTATAAAGCATAGTTTATAGTTTAAAGTGTAACGGATGATGACATTAAGGCCCAGAACTTCACAAGAGCCGAACCTAATTGGAACAATGGATAAYGAGGCGATTTTTCTTTGATGCAATAGGTTCGGCTCATGTAAAGTTCGAATTAGTCCAAGTCTGAAAAATTTGGATAAACTTTTATCAATCAGAACAGTTATTATTTTTCTTACTGTTATTTCATTGCTTATTGTTTTTCTTTCTTCTTCTTCAGGGCAGACCAGGCGTTACTGGCATGAGAGGATTACCAGGAGTACCTGGACGAAGGGTGAGTGTTCTTGCAGTACTCAAGTCTCGTTACAGATAATGACTCTCTTTTTAATCAATTCCTTGCACCAACTAGCTGATCAAGGGTCACAGCATAAGCCTTTCCAAGGTTGAGGAAAAAATTGGGTCGAGTTGGGATTGCAGTGCTTTGGCGGACTATTTTAGGGAACATATGGTGTTTGTTTTGTCTACTAAAACAGTCCCGCAATGAACTGCAATGACAACTCGACCCATTTTTCCCCCCTTAATCYCAATAATTTGTTGTAGTCGAAAAAGTCACGTGAATATAAATATAATTTGGATTGCTATGCGGTCACATGACTCACAAAAAGGCGGGAAATTATATTCAGAATTCAAGAGACATTGTGATTGCTCCTATAGACTCTTTTAATTAATCCCACAATGCCTAATTTTCCGCATTTGACGTTAAATTTATCCGCTTGAATTTTTTTAAACGAAATGAAAAAGAATAAATTTGACGTCAAATGCGGAAATTAGAGCATTGTGGGATTTATTGAAAGGGTCTATAGTCACGTGACTAAAAGCGCGGGGAAAATATCAGAACTTGAATTTTTAAAAAATCCGTCCTTTTTTCACGTGGATAGCACTTAATTAGCCAGTGGCTAACAAACCTGTGGCCCTCATTCCATGATCGAATTGGAATTTAGGAGTTGATTTTTGGGGAGGGAGGAAACCCTCGAAGCACAGGAGAGAACCAACAAACACCTCTACTCATACACAACACCGAACCCGTCGGTTCTCGAACTCGGGTCGCATTGATGAGAGGCAAGCGCTCACACCGCTACGCCACCCATGCTTCCCTAAAATTAAGAAATAGACATCGAAATAGCTCCAGTAGCCGATCACGTAACTAACGCGAGGAAATAATTTTGCCTAATTTGGAAATCCGTTTGATAAACAGAGAAATTGCTACCGTAGACACTTGACTAAAAGTGTGGGAAAATATTTCTTAATTTTGCTATTTTATTATATAATCTGATTGGTTATTATTTAGGGTGCACGCGGAGACTCCGGAGAAGAGGGTCCGGAAGGAAATCCTGGAGAAAGGGTAAGAATTTCTCCTCMTACTTTTACCTGTGCCACAAACTCTCTGTACGACCGTTCGATCAGTATGATCGTTTGCTTAGTCAGTCGTCGGCTCGTTCATGCGTGCGTGTGTGCGCGCGACCATTTGTCTGTTTCTTTTTCATTCGCTTGCTCATTTCATACTTCTCTTCTTCACACATCTCAGTTTTATTATTTTATTTCTTTTTCCTCATGATTTGTCTGTTGTTTAGGGAGTACCTGGAGCACAGGGTGTTGCTGGACCCGACGGGTTGCGAGGTAGAAAGGTATTGAATATGCTTTATACATTATCACCGAAAGTAAACCCTGGCCTCATGTCTGGTCATTGTACCTTTATCATATGATGGGCTTATTTTAGAAGAGAGGGAAGTTTGCGTTTCCAAATGTGCTCCGCGAATTTTTTTTATTATTTCTACTTGTCGTCTCTATCGTAACAGTCACAACCATAACGCCTTATTTTGTCTATTCACGGTGGTCACACTAGTACGCATCCAGTCTCATACCCAGAGCTCCTCGGTCTCGTTCGGGGAAGGAACGAGACCGTGGAGCTCTGGGTACGAGACTGGTATACAAAGCTGCAAAGGTTGAATGTTGTTTCAGTGCACTTTTCGTATTTGAGTACAGTGTCTCACTGAAGTTAGTCTATTTTCCCACCCTTCCCTGCTGTTGCTCTCCTTGGTTAGTCTATTTTCCAACCCTTCCCTGCTGTTGCTCTCCTTGGTTAGTCTATTTTCCC